CATGTCTTTATTTATAATTTCCATTCGTATCTGCACTTGGCATTCAAAAGCCCAGTATCTACCTCTGCTCTTCACTCGCTTGCTTACCCAAAAAGGCTACTAATTAGTTGTAAATTTGCATTTATTAAAAAGTTTTCATCATTTCTTTGGAATACTAAAATTGGTCTAAAACATTTGGGCGCCACTTGAATGCGTACGTGGTTGGGGGGGATGAAAGTTATAGAAAAAAGGCGGGTGGTCTGACCATCAAGGCTCCGAGTATTAATTTGTTAATTTACATAAAGGTTTTTCTTTAGAAATCACTGCTGAATACTGAGATGGGCGAGTGTTGAAAGAAATCTGAATAAAATAATTGTGGACCGCAAAAAGAAAAAAAAAAAAACGAAAAACTTTGTTTGGAATTGAGAAAAGTTTTCATTTGCGGTTTTGTTATTTTTGCTGTTGTCGTTGTTGTTGCTTCTGTTGAAGTGTTAAAATTAATCAGGCTAAGTTGTTATTTCTTTTCTGTTGGCTTCTGTTCGGCTCTTTCATTCATTCATTCATTCTTTGCTTTTGTATGTATCCTTTATTTCCATTTACAACACTTTCATTGTCGTTTGAAATTTGTTTAATAAAGAAAGGAAAAAAAATGATTTTTCTTTTTTGTTGAAATGAAAATGAAATGTGTTTCTCTTTGGCTTTTAGTTGTATTATTTTGCCGGTGACCTTCTGAAAAGTTTCGTTTTATTAAGAGATTTGGTTTTCAATTTCCCCTAAAAATGGGGATATCTGTTTAATTGTCACACTTAGGCGGATGCTGGAAGAATTGTGAATTTTTTTTTTTTTAACTTGGAAAAATAATTGACGAAACATTTTAAGTAGCTCAGGTTGTTTTCCAAAGTTTTTGGAATGCCAAAGAAAAATTGTTTTTATCTAAATTTAAATGTTGCCCATTAAAAATTGCTGAAAATTCAAATTTAAAGGGTAAAGGTGTTATAAACATTGAGAGCCCAAAAACCTGAAATTATCAGACAATATTAAAAACATGGGCCTAAAAAACTGAAATTTTCAGGCTTCGTAAAAGACAAAACATCGTCCAGTTTTGTTGAAAAATTTTCGCCGCTCTAGGATGCAGTGTCATTTGCTATCCACAGCTAGAGAATAGTGTCCATAGCTAGAGAAAGTCTAAGTTGTAGCGGACCCCTAGAGAATCTGGAACAAAAATATATTAGTGCCTTTTTTCCTTTGATACTAAGGGCAGCAATCCTTAATCCTTATTAACGAAGCCATTCCTGGTTGTTAAGGACGTCATTTCCAGAATCCAGTGCAACACAGTCAATGTTGTTATCAACAGAAAAAGTAACCAGATCTCCTCACTCTCTCTCTCTCTCTCTCTTTCTCTCTGAAGAAACCCTCTGTCTCTGAGACTAGTCTGTTAGAGAATTCCCTCCGACGTCTTCAAGAACTCACTTCTCTCAGTAGATGTGATGGATATTGCTGTAATCCCAAACTATTTGAACAAGGATGGATTGAATGGTCCAGACCACGGATGGGAACTTTTCTAGACAATTTATGTATAGCCTGGCGTGGAGAACGGCTGTACGGTGGCCAAGGGGAATATGAATTCTTTCACTAGTATACGAATATCAAATGGCGATTTCTAATGAAAAGGGTCCTTACCAACTCCATACTATCCCTAAATAGGTCGAACTTAAGGAGTCTATTAAGAGTTGTTGAACTTTCACGACAACGGATAGGGAGAAGACCCCTATCAGGATGCACTTAAAGAGTATCACCTTCAGATATTTATGAGATCTCTTGATTTCAATTCTCGAGAAGAGGAAGTGCATACCTTTGGACCACTCTTCGATAGAGGAATATTATCGGCCATAGTCCAGCTACGGAATTAAATTCTGGGACTATCGAGCTTGAAAATTCTAGAAAATGTGTGGAAACAAAAATTTGATATCTCTTAACCATACACTACAATAGACAGAGAGAGAGAGAGAGTTCCATGGATGAACTGAACCAGAGTTCAAAAAAAGCTCACTAAGCCATGCTCTAAGGCCAAGCTACAGAGTGGAGCTAAAGCTCCTAGAATCGCGGTGAGAGTCTATTTATTCAACCGAATCTGAAGGATGTTGTTGATTTAACCTTAGTCATTTAGAATTAAGCAAAGACTCTAATTATAGGCGCAGACTCCGACCTTGAGTCTTGCTTTGGTTAAAAAAAAAATAGATCTCGATGACGCGGCCCTTTACGAGATGTCAACTATCTCCCGGCTTTAATGACTGAATCAGACTCTTTCCGATGGTGGTCATTGTTAAACAAAAATCTGAGGAAAAGATTAAAGTCTGATAGATCTTTTTGAATGAAGACCGTTTCCCCGACATTTTTTTCACAAAAAAAAAAAAAAGGAATTCTCAAAATACATTGTTCGTCATAGTCCTTGAAAAAATTTTATTTAAAAATCGACTTTTCAGGGTAAAATAGTCTTTGAAAAAAATATTCCTCAAAAATCCACGTTTCTGGTTCTATTGGTCTTTGAAAAAATATTCTTTAAAAATCCACATTTCTTGGATATTTGGTCCTTGAAAATTTTTCTTTAAAAATAGACGTTTCTTGGTCTTTGGGTCCTTGAAAAATATTCTTTAAAAATCTACGTTTATTTGGTCCTTGAAAAAATATTCTTTAAAAATCCACGTTTCTTGGTAATTTGGTCCTTGAAAAAATATTCTTTAAAAATCCACGTTTCTTGGTAATTTGGTCCTTGAAAAAATATTCTTTAAAAATCCACGTTTCTTGGTAATTTGGTCCTTGAAAAAATATTCTTTAAAAATCCACGTTTCTTGGTAATTTGGTCCTTGAAAAAATATTCTTTAAAAATCCACGTTTCTTGGTAATTTGGTCCTTGAAAAAATATTCTTTAAAAATCCACGTTTCTTGGTAATTTGGTCCTTGAAAAAATATTCTTTAAAAATCCACGTTTCTTGGTAATTTGGTCCTTGAAAAAATATTCTTTAAAAATCCACGTTTCTTGGTAATTTGGTCCTTGAAAAAATATTCTTTAAAAATCCACGTTTCTTGGTAATTTGGTCCTTGAAAAAATATTCTTTAAAAATCCACGTTTCTTGGTAATTTGGTCCTTGAAAAAATATTCTTTAAAAATCCACGTTTCTTGGTAATTTGGTCCTTGAAAAAATATTCTTTAAAAATCCACGTTTCTTGGTAATTTGGTCCTTGAAAAAATATTCTTTAAAAATCCACGTTTCTTGGTAATTTGGTCCTTGAAAAAATATTCTTTAAAAATCCACGTTTCTTGGTAATTTGGTCCTTGAAAAAATATTCTTTAAAAATCCACGTTTCTTGGTAATTTTGTCCTTGAAAAAATATTCTTTAAAAATCCACGTTTCTTGGTAATTTGGTCCTTGAAAAAATATTCTTTAAAAATCCACGTTTCTTGGTAATTTGGTCCTTGAAAAAATATTCTTTAAAAATCCACGTTTCTTGGTAATTTGGTCCTTGAAAAAATATTCTTTAAAAATCCACGTTTCTTGGTAATTTTGTCCTTGAAAAAATATTCTTTAAAAATACACGTTTCTGGGTCTTTTGGTCCTTGAAAAAATATTCTTTAAAAATCCACGTTTCTGGGTCATTTGGTCCTTGAAAAAATATTCTTTAAAAATCCACGTTTCTGGGTCATTTGGTCCTTGAAAAAATATTCTTTAAAAATCCACGTTTCGGGGTCATTTGGTCCTTGAAAAAAGATTCTTTAAAAATCCACGTTTCCTGGATATTTGGTCCTTGAAAAAATATTATTTAAAAATCCACGTTTCTTGGTCAGTGGGTCCTTGAAAAATATTCTTTAAAAATCCACGTTTCCTGGATATTTGGTCCTTGAAAAAATATTCTTTAAAAATCCACGTTTCCTGGATATTTGGTCCTTGAAAAAATATTATTTTAAAATCTACGTTTCCTGGATATTTGGTCCTTGAAAAAATATTCTTTAAAAATCCACGTTTCCTGGATATTTGGTCCTTGAAAAAATATTCTTTAAAAATCCACGTTTCTTGGTCTGCGGGTCATTGAAACAATATTCTTTAAGAATCCACGTTTCTTGGTCCTTGAAAAAATATTTTTTAACAAACCACGTTTCTTGGATATTTAGTCTTTGAGAAAATATTCTTTAAAAATCCACGTTTCGTGGTCCTTGAAAAAATGTTTTTTAAGAATCCGAGTTTCTTGGTCTGTGGGTCTTTGAAAAAATATTTGTTAAAATCCACGTCTGTTAACCTGTGGGTCCTTAAAAAATATTCTTTAAAAATCCACGTTTCTTGGTCATTTGGTCCTTAAAAAATATTCTTTAAAAATCTACTTTTCTGGGTCATTTGGTCCTTGAAAAAATATTCTTTAAAAATCCACGTTTCTTGGTCATTTGGTCCTTGAAAATATGTTCTTTAAAAATCCACGATTCTTGGTGGGATGGTCCTTAAAAAAATATTTTTTTTTTTAATCCACGATTCTTGGTGGGATGTTCATTAAAAAATATATTTTTTAAAAATCCACGTTTCTTGGTCATTTTGTCCTTGAAAAAATATTCTTTAAAAATCCAAGCTTCTTGGTGGGATGTTTCTTGGTGATTTGGTCCTTGAAGAAATATTCTTTAAAAAATTTAAATTATCCTTAGCACGTGATTAAGAATCTAGCCTACCTGTTAGTGTCATACGGAATAAGCATTTTACATTACCTTCATTGGTTCTGAATAAATCTGTGTTTTCTTTGGAAATTGCAGCTGCTTTTTAAGACACAATCTACATTTCCTCCTTTTTTCCGGACCATCGCACAGCAGCATCTGCTGCGTACAAAGGAGTTAAGGAACCAACGGCAAACTAACAACTACCTGCAATTCACGTAAGGAGGTTTTGGACAGAATTGCATCTGCCTAATTGTCTTAGGCAGGTAGCAAAATTCGTCTTACCAAATTTCCGATATAAAACAACGTTAATGCATTCTTTCACAATCATTTGTAAGAAGAGGTTTCATCCAATCGCATCATTGGCAAGCCAAAGAAATACCGCAAAATGGATATTGTACGTCGTTCTATGGATTTATCGCAGCATGTCTTTAATGTAACCTATTCGAAGAAGTTCATAGAAGCTGAACACACCATCAGCATAATACGGCTGGATCATTGTAAAACCTTTATAACGGTATTCACTAAGGACATCATACAGCGGTTGACGAAACATCGCGTGCTGTCGGTGACACGGATCAAAGATAATCAGGGTCACAAGAATTTACTTCAATTAGCTGGTGATTTGTATATATCCTGCAAGACCTATATCAGTGATGAGGTCTTCAACAAAATTAATCGTCAGCAGAATTTTTGGTTTGGCCGCAATGCTTCCAATCGTTTAATGCTGTTTGAAGAGTCCTCGCCAACGCAGAATAGTCTGGAATGTATTGGGCATCTGAAAATGCCCATATGTCGCAGTGTCCTGGAGGGTGATGATGTGATGTAAGTGTGCGAAAAAGTTATTACTGGAAGTGTATTTGAAATATTTCTATTTTTCTAGACCCTTGGAAGGAGCCTTGAATTCTTTGAAACTTAACGGAAGAAACACAAAAAAGGAGCTCAGATTGGATGATAATGGCGATTGCTTAGAAACGCCAAGTATATAGTTAATGTTTTTTTCTTTGTCAAAAAATTATTTTTATTAAATATTTGTTTAAAACACATGTTCAATAAAATATGTAGTTCTGTTCTTCTCCCTGAGAAACTACTTTTGTCGATTGGAAATAGGAAAATGTGTTCCAAACCCTAAACTTGGCATTAATTAGCCTTCATATAAGGGTTATACCAAAGGGTTTCTACTAAATTTATAATTTTTAATTTTGTAGATTAAAATATTACAGATCTTTCGGCGCATGGTTAAGCCTCATTTAGACCATGGAAAATTACTTTTAAAAATCCGTATGAAATGTTTGTTTAGAATTCACATTTGGTCCTCACAAAATCCATCGGTTATTTCGTCCTTAAAAAGTAACAAGTAAAAAAGAAGCTAAGTTCTGCCGTGCCGAACTTTTTATACCCTCCACCATTTAAATGAAAGTTAAAAAATGTCCAAAAAATGCGTCGAAAAATACCGCTTGAATGAAAGCCTCTATATGGGGGCTATACAAAGACGTGGACCTGCATAAGAAATTTGTATCATAGGCTGTAGTAACGGTTCCGAACTTTATATACGAAATTTGAAAAAATTTCGATTAACGATGTCGCAAAAATCATGAAAATACCAAATATCTGGGGGTACTGTTATATGGGCGCTGTACTAAAACGTAAACCTATTTAGACAATTCTCTTCTAGGGGTAAAGTACTCAGAAGGAATCCCTTGTGTACATTTTAAGACAATTCCATATAAAATATGGCTAAAATCAGCCCAATTTGGTACAGATAGCCCATCGGATTGGTCATTGTGCGCTGGAAATGAAGCGATGAACCTCATTTTGTAACCATGCTCGGGTGGCGCGTGCTGAGTTCGATGGTGCTGAGTCCTGTTGGAATGTGCAAGGTCTGCGGTCAAAATGTTTGCGTGTCCAAGGCTTTATTACACACTCCAGAATATTTTCGCCATAATATTAGGGATTAATTCTGATGCCACGGTCGATTAATACGAGCGGAGAGCGACCTTCGGCTGTCATGGCGGTCCACACCAACACCATTGCCGGCGCTTGAGTTCTGGTGGCCAACCGAAGGTGCACATTTTCAGCTGACCTCTTTGGCAAGTAAACACGATCATTTTGTCTGTTTACAAACTTCTGGACAACGAATGTTTTCTCATCTGAGACGGAGAAAACCAAATTCGGCAGTTCACCACTTTCGGCCAAGCGAAGTAACTCTTTAGCTCTTTTGAGTCTATTTTCTTTCTGTTGCGGTGTAAGTTCTGGCTCTTTTTGGAATTTCAATGGTTTTACCTTGAGCTCATTTCTCAATATTTGCCGAATGGAATATTGCGATATGTTCAGCTCACGAGCCATTTTTCGGCCACTGCGACGCGGGATTCGATCAAGTCGCTTCTTTACTTTTCGAACCATTTTTGCTGATGTTGCTGTTTTCTTCCGTCTACTACTTTGACGTTGGGCTACGCTACCAGTAGCATGGTAACGAGCGCTGGTACGAGACACAAAAGATTTATTCACATTTAAATGCTGGAGTGCTCTAACGGTAGCCACTTGTGATTTTCAACTAAAATATAAACAAATCAGACTATCGCGCTTGAATTCCATCACGAATAACTCTTTTTCTGGAAAATTCTCACCAAAATGTTTTTTACGCTTGTAAACAATATAATGAGCTGTCACTGGAATAATTTTAACAGTTGTCGGACGAGTGGCTTATAAATGACAGCAGTCTGAAGTTGTTTGCAATTTTTTCATCTCACCCTGTATATATTAGAGTCAAGTTCCTCAAAATGGATACGTACGTCTGGAAATTCACTCCATTTAGGCTGATATTAGCCATTAGTGGCACAATAAACCGAAAATCGTATTAAGGATATATATGAGAGCTATATCCAAATCTTAGCCATTCTCGATTAAATTTGGCAAGGGTATTTCCGAGCTCTATAAGATATCTTGTGCCAAATATCATTGTAGTCGAATACAAACGTCAAATCTGATAAAACATATATATGGGAGCTATAGCTATATCTGAACCGATTTTTGAAAGCTGAATTCGTTCGCGTGTGCCGAAATTCATATCATTTAGACTTATATTGGCCATTTAGTGCACAATTAACCCGAAATCCGCTGAAGATATATGGGAGCTATATCGAAATCTGATCCGATTATCACCAATTTCAGTAGGGCCTTGGGCTAAACAAATATTGTTTGGAAAATTTTATCTCAATCGGATAATAAATGCAATTATAAATGGATGGACAGACGGACTGACATGCATAAACCGACTCAGAATATGATTCTATTAAGATCCTCAAAAGTAATTATGGGTCTATCTCTCTTCCTTTTCCATGTTACAAACAAATGGAAATTTTCTCTGAGTTATTATTTCAATATATTTTTTTTTAAATATCCACGTGCATTTTATGTGAGTCCTTGAAAAAAATATTCTTTAAAAATCCACGTTTCTTGGTCTGTGGATCCTTGAAAAAAATATTCTTTAAAAATCCACGTTTCTTGGTCTGTGGATCCTTGAAAAAAATATTCTTTAAAAATCCACGTTTCTTGGTCTGTGGATCCTTGAAAAAAATATTCTTTAAAAATCCACGTTTCTTGGTCTGTGGATCCTTGAAAAAAATATTCTTTAAAAATCCACGTTTCTTGGTCTGTGGATCCTTGAAAAAAATATTCTTTAAAAATCCACGTTTCTTGGTCTGTGGATCCTTGAAAAAAATATTCTTTAAAAATCCACGTTTCTTGGTCTGTGGATCCTTGAAAAAAATATTCTTTAAAAATCCACGTTTCTTGGTCTGTGGATCCTTGAAAAAAATATTCTTTAAAAATCCACGTTTCTTAGTCTGTGGATCCTTGAAAAAAATATTCTTTAAAAATCCACGTTTCTTGGTCTGTGGATCCTTGAAAAAAATATTCTTTAAAAATCCACGTTTCTTAGTCTGTGGATCCTTGAAAAAAATATTCTTTAAAAATCCACGTTTCTTGGTCTGTGGATCCTTGAAAAAAATATTCTTTAAAAATCCACGTTTCTTAGTCTGTGGATCCTTGAAAAAAATATTCTTTAAAAATCCACGTTTCTTCGTCATTTGGTCTTTGAAAAAATATTCTTTAAAAATCCACGTTTCTTCGTCATTTGGTCTTTGAAAAAATATTCTTTAAAAATCCACGTTTCTTGGTCTGTGGATCCTTGATAAAATATTCTTTAAAAATCCACGTTTCTTGGTCTGTGGATCCTTGATAAAATATTCTTTAAAAATCCACGTTTCTTGGTCTGTGGATCCTTGATAAAATGTTCTTTAAAAATCCACGTTTCTTGGTCTGTGGATCCTTGATAAAATATTCTTTAAAAATCCACGTTTCTTGGTCTGTGGATCCTTGATAAAATATTCTTTAAAAATCCACGTTTCTTGGTCTGTGGATCCTTGATAAAATATTCTTTAAAAATCCACGTTTCTTGGTCTGTGGGTCCTTGATAAAATATTCCTTAAAAATCCACGTTTCTTGGTCTGTGGATCCTTGATAAAATATTCTTTAAAAATCCACGTTTTTTGGTCTGTGAGTCCTTGAAAAAATATTCTTTAAAAATCCATGTTTCTTAATACGATGGTCCGTGAAAAAATCCACGTTTCTTGGTCTGTGAGTCCTTGAAAGAATATTCTTTAAAAATCCACGTTTCTTGGTCTGTGGGTTCTTGAAAAATATTCTTTAAAAATCCACGTTTCTTGGTCTGTGTGTTCTTAAAAAAATATTCTTTTAAAATCCACGTTTCTTGGTCTGTGGGTCTTTTAAAAAGTATTTTTTTAAAAATCCACGTTTCTTGGTCTGTGGGTCCTTAAAAAAATACTTTTTTTAAAAAATCCACGTTTCTTGGTCTGTGGGTCCTTGAAAAAATATTTTTTAAAAATCCACGTTTCTTCGTCATTTGGTCTTTGAAAAAATATTCTTTAAAAATCCGTCCTTTCTCTATGGGTCTGCGAAATATATTCTTAATATAACCACATGTGAAGGCCATATGGTTCTTGAAATATGTATTTTTTAAAAATCCACGTTTCTTGGTCTGTGTATCCTTGAAAAAATATTCTTTTAAAATCCACGTTTCTTGGTGGGATGGTCCTTGAAAAAATATTCTATAAAAATCCACGTTTCCTCGTAATTTTTTCCATGAAGAAATATCCTTAAAATTCCACGTTTCGTAGCCTGTGGGTCCAACTTCCAATTTAATGAAGTATCCCAGACCAGTCAAGGTTGGTGTAGGTCACAAAATATTATGAAATATTTATCTCTCACGTTGTAAAATTTTTAATATTTCTTTTTTATTTTTGCATTTTTTGAGGTTAATATTTGTTGACAAAACTATAATCTCCATGCAAACACCCACGCACACACACTCAGATAACCTCGAAAAAATTTATCCTTAAGCATTCCTTATTCCTTTTTACAAATATTTTTTATTCCTTTCCACCAAGTTGCGAGCGAACACTTTTGAATATTTACGTTGACTTTGATCCCAGTCAACTTTGACATTCTGTGGAGGAGATATGAAGGATTCCACTGCCTGTCGCCGAAGTAGTTCCATGCTTTTTGATAAACTTGATGTGTGTTTGTTGCTGGTGTTTTTGTTTTTGCTGTTTTTGTTATTGGTGCTGATGGTGTCATGCATAACAATAAAGCAAACTTTGTCTCTGAGAAGAGATTCCTTGTTCTTCGTTTTTTTGTGTTCCTTGCCAGGGTTTCTCCCTGATTCCTCAAAAGTTTTGTTCATCATAATAATCATATTTTCATGCGAAAAATAAGTTGTCTTTGCGATAGAGCAAAAAAAGCAGGATAATACGAAGAACATGGTAGAGCAAAAAGGACTCAAGCAATATAAACAAATAAACAAGTTAAAGTTTTATTCTTTCGTTTGCTGCTGTTAGTTCTCAATTCCAATAAAAAAGTTTCGTAATATAATTATGTAGTGTTAATAACCAAAAGGGTATTAACGATCGAAATGGATAAGAAAAGTTTTTCTGGATTCGTTATT